CTTAAGATTTTCTTTGTATTTTTCAAAGGTCAATGTAAAGCTTGTAATATCTTGCAACTTTGCAATACTTAAAGGAAACCAGCACTATTCTTGTTTTGGTTATAAATAGCAGTGTGTATATCTCGTATTTGGACACTGTTTGTGCAAACTGTTGTCGCCTTTTGTCCAGTGGGTCCCAGTGCACTGGCCAATCCACATCTCTTTCATTTTCCAGCTCTTGTCACGCAGCTTTCGGTGGCTTACAGCCAACTGATTCTGGCTCTTTGTCCGTTTTCCTCCGGCAATCGGCGGGATCAGGCTCCTTCGCAGCAGGCGGTCTTCTAAGCTCCGCCAACTTCCTATTTTCCTCCTCAGCGCCACAGAGAAAAACTTTACACAAAGATTATTTAGTTACAAGCTGTGTGTGCGTGTGTGTCTGTGGGAAAAGAAGAAAAATATCAACAGCAAGGGGGCTTAGCTCGGGGGCACGACCTGCAATCCATTGAACCCCCTGCCATTAGCCGGATGAAATAACTGCCGCGATCTTGGTCCTGTTGCTTTTCAGATGCACTGAGGATTAGGGAACCATCAATACAAGACATCAATAGCTTGTGGCTACGTCTATAAGTTGCATTTTCAATCAAAAAGTGTTTTTAGCTTTTTCTTTATGAACTTTATACAAAAAAAAATTGTTTTCCAAAGCTTAAAAAATTTTAAAAAAATTTTTATTATCCGAAATTTGGAAAAACTGGTATGCAACTTTGTTATAACCCTAAAAACATGAAAGAAAGTACTTTATTTTTGGCCATTTTATGCAATTTTCAGTGAAAAAGTAAGTAATACAAATAAAATATAAACAAATAGTCTATATGGAGGATAACATTTGGAATTACTTCGCTGGCTCGGCTAGATTTGAAAATATGGTAGACAGCCCCCTCGGTTTCCGTTTATGCAGACGCGTCACTCTCCGGTCGCTCTGGAATATTGGTGTCAAAGTGCGAGCTGAATTGTTCATTGCCCTCTTTTGCGTCATTCATTGGCAGGCAGGAGCCCCTGAAAAACCCGTCAGCCATTCGACAGTGGAAACCAGACTCCGACACTGAAGACATTCCACAATTTGTATGACATTCGCAATGACACACTTGGCAGGAGCAGGAAAAACGGGGGGGGTCCTTCGATGAGATGAGATGCGAGTCAATAGCACATGGGTTCTGCATTTGGGGGCGGAGAATGGGAACTCGGGGTACTCGATTGTGCTGACGCTTTCTTCAATGGCCTGAAATGAATGCCGGGATCAAAACGCCCCTCGTCGAAACCCCCTGCCAAACAACTGAAAGCTCGAATCCCTGAAACAAAGGGCCAAATGCGCTCACTTACAGCTGGTCTTTGATGCGGGATCTGCTTATGGCCGCTAACCCGCTCCGATTCCAGCTCCTGTTCCGAGTACGAGTAGGAGTAGGAGTACGAGTAGAAGTAGGAGTAGGAGTACGAGTCCGATTCCAACTGGCAGTCCAAGTCCAAGTCCGATGTCATTGTTAAAACCAACTGCTGGACAAGTGAGTCTGTCTTTTTCCCATCGAGTTGTATTAGTGAAAACAATGAAGGGGAATTTTTCTTTCTTTTCGCATACCCTACAAGGCGTATACTTAATCTTTAATTCCTAACTTAAAAATATGTTTAATAATAAATCCTCATAATACATAATAAGCTGAATTTATTTTGGTCTTCATGGATATTAACTAGAAAATTTTGAACCTCTTAACAGAGCATTTAGGCATTCGTTGCATTTTAAGAAAAGTTCCCAGCATTTCGTATATTTTTTCTATTTTCCCCCCCGTTTTTTCTTTGTTTTTTGCCTTTTCAGCTTTTTTGCGCTCGATTTGTTTTGCTGCTGATGCGGCTGCCTGGACACTTGGTCCGCTCAATTGGCTGCAAGTGCAATATTTTGATTTGCAATTGTTTTGCAAGACAGCAGCACCCGCTTTCCCGGCACTTAATTGCGGGTTTTCGGGGATGGGGAGGTTTTCTATGCCGCAGAATGTTTTTCTTGCACCCTGAGGCATTCCTCAATCGTCCGGACATATTTGTATGCATTGCGGGCAAGGCAAAAACCGAAACTAATTTCCATTGTGCAAATTATTTGCGACCTGACATAATTTTTCGCCATGTTGCAGCTGCAGTTTCTGTTGCAGTTGCAATTGCAATTGCTGCTACTGCTGTTGCTGCTTGGAAGTCCCAAAAGGGTTGCCAGATTGCCCGACTTTTGCCGGGGACTCCCCCCTGTTTGCCCATGCACAATGCATACAAATTGCATTACAATCAGCCAGGGCAAACATGGAAATATATTTAAGGAGCGACAACAACCGAATGGAAGAAATGCTTGAAATCGTTAAAAGAAAACGAACAAAGCATGGCAAATATTTATATACAAATATTTTTGCTCTAAGCCCAAACAGCAGAGGGGAAAAGAGTAGGAAAGAGGCAAAAGGGGATTCCGAGATGCAGATGCAAAGCTGAAATGCAAAACTTCAAATGTAATTTGGAAATGGCAAAAAAACCAAGCCAAACAAAGTGGCCGGTCACGTCCTTGACTCCCACAGAGCAGCATTCGCATTAATTGGCAGCTCTCGGTCAAATGTATCTTTGTATCTTTGTATCTCCCAGATTATGAGAGAGAACAGCAGTTGAATAATATTGAAACAAAGGCTTACAAAAATTTGCATCCTTCTGGGGTTACAAGGAAAACCTACACACTAGCTCTAAATTAGAAATTTAAATAATTTGAGAAGATTATGAAGCATATAATTACTTTATATTATATATTATATCTCTTTTTGCGACTTAACATTACAAAAGTTTTTCAACATGGTGTTGTTTGTATACACATTTTTAAGAATGACAAGAAAGGAAATACTTTAATGTTTGCATTTATAATTTATGCGATATATCTTCTGCTGATCCTTTTTGGCCCCGTCGCCGTTCGTCGTCCTTTGAGGCGCTTGTCATTTCATTTCATTACATCGCATTGTTGTCCCTTTTGGCTTTTGTGCTTTTCTCAAATATTTACATGTACCTTTTTTTCTCGTCTCATTTCTTCATCTTCTCGCAGGACCGCCTTGCCTCTCCTCCTTGCCACTCCCCCGTTTTCCTCTTCCCCTTCAGCGCCGCTTTGCTCCTCCGCGGGGCGATTTTACCCGCAGGAAAATCGCCTGCTGCGTCAGTTTCCCGACTGCCTGCTGGGCTGTAATGGCATTTATTAATTGCTATGTAAATAACTTGAAGTCAATTTTAATGGGAATTGTGTTGGCGCAATCCAAACGGGCCAATTTGCAGGCTCATTTCGATGCCTTCCGCCACTCAAGGATATCACTGGTAATAAGTCATTCCCTTATGGACCAATTAGATCGAACATAAATTCAGAAGTGCCCCGGTCAAGGATTTGCCTTTCATTAGGTGCACTTCCCATCATTGGTTTCTGTGATTCCGGTTTTCTATTAAACTTCCGCCAGTCGAGACTTAAATAAAAATTTATTTAACGAAAATTGGTTTATTTATCATTTACCTCTTTCTCAATTTTATGCTTTCAAAATAGCTTATATCATATGTCAATGTGAAAACTTAAACTGACGATAAATAAAATACCTTTACCAAAAGTGTTTCTCTGCCAATAAATAATAAATCGAGCATTCCTGCATTTGAACTATTAATAAACCAATAAGCCTTTAAACTCGTCCTAAAGCATATTACTTCTAATTTTGTGCAGTTTCTCGGTTTCTCGGATTGCACAGCTTCTGTTGGCCCTAAAAATCAAGTGGCTGTATAAACGAGTCTCTGATTCTGGCCAAAAACTAAGCCAAAATAAACCGAAATTCGAAAAGCAGAGCACGGCATATGGAGTGCATGAGTTGCATGAAGGAGTATTTCAGTTATTTCAAGTGAAGGCAAACATAATGCACATAATGCCAGCCAGTGGTACGCAAAAATGCTCGCATTTAAATGCTGGCCAACATTTGTCAAGCCTGCGCTCGTTCCATCTCATTCCTTCTAGCCATATAATATTGCCTTCTCTGTCTGCCGGGTTTCGCTCTCTATTTTGGCTCGGTGAGCTACTGTTGCGACACTTTTGTGAGGCGAGCTGCTTGTAAATCTCTTTTTAATTGCATTTAACCGCAAACAAATTCCAAAGCCTGGCAACACGAAGGGAGGAATTTCCCAGCCAGCCAACCAGCCAGCCAGCCACCCACTGCTTGGCAATCCCACTTGGCCGAAAACCAGGCTGAAACTAAAAACCGCACGTGGCAAACGAAACTAAAATGCAGGACACATGCACACAATGGAAATTCTGGATGAACCAAGGGGCCAAAGGGGTTGGAGTAGGTAAGGGGAGGGGGAGTCACCGAACATGGCCACACAAATTGTTTAAACATATACCATACCAAATACAATCCAAATCGAAAAGGCGCCTGGGCAGTTGGGGCAGCAGGAAACCAGGAAAGCAGAAAAGCAGTCACAGTCACAGTCACAGTCAATTATACAAATTGCATTTGTGTTGCTCTCTTGCAGCCTCGCATTTGCATACCGCCCACCTACCCACCTCCCCTTCACCCCCTCCCTTTCCCTCTTCTCTTGGCCATATTGGATTTGGCCACACGTCGCCTGTCGGCCTCGAAAAAGTCAACCAAAGCCCTTATTCTAAGCCAATTTTAAGCGGATTTCGAGGGGCCAAAACGGGCTGTTACTGTTTCTAGTGGTGAAGTTATTATTTACTTACAATTAGGGTGAATTAAGATATGTAATTATTGTTAAAAACTAAACTGGAGATCCATATATTAATTTTCTTTTAATTTCTGGAGATCCTTAGAGATCTTGGCTGAGCCAACGTTTGATTCAAGTCAAAAAGTTAAACAAAAAAAACAAAACTCAGAGGTTTTTTAAGTCTGGGAATTCGGATCACAGACTTTAACCAAATCACTCAGACAGCCTGGATATTTCTGTCAACTCAAATTGAACCCAAACCCAAACGACCCTACAAGCCATCACATATCGGAGCTCTCAAAAAAAAAATTGAATAATATACATCACAATAAAATGGACAATGCAGCGGTTGAGCACTACAAACGCGTTAAGGCCGAGCTGGAAAATGAAAAGCTGCTGACGTTCGAGGACCTTTGCCGTTCAAGCGATGCATCGCCGATAGTTTTGGCCAAGAGCATCAGAGCCTTGGTGAAGGAGCGATCCCAAATGAAGGCAAAGGAACTGGCCGAAGTCTTTCATAACATGAGTCTCACCGAAGACAGTGAGGTGAGCCAATTTAACTTATTTAATTAAGAATTTAATTTAACTAAGAATTGAGGATTGCGAAAACAGGATGACGATGTGGAAGTCCTGGACTTGGAGCAACTGGTCGTCAGCACTAGAATCCATCCATTGCTCCTTCAACTCAGCTTGGACTCCATTCACCAAACGTTGGGACCAAAATAATTCCTTGTTTAATGTTTATTTTTCAGTTTCGAATACGTAAAAGTTGTTTAAATAGCAAAACAAGCGAATGTTCTTAACCAATTAGCTCTCTTAGCTGCTATAACACTTCGAAAAAGTTAAGGTAACTTGAGCGTGGTTTATGAAAGGACTCGCAAGACAGAGATTTACTTTAAGGCTGCAGGTCACAGGGCCTATCAGCAGTTAACCCCAAAGACACTGCCACTTTGTGTAACACCCACTAAACTTATTATTCTTCCCTTAGTTTTATCTTGGGTATCTCCCCTTTCTTTTTTCCTTTTTTTTTTTTGTCTTTTGTTGGCCTGCCCAGTTCATCTTTTAATTAATTCACAAGCAGCGTAAAAGTTTTGTAGCCACTTTGGGCCTAGACCACCAGCAGTTTTCCTCTTTCCCCCCTTTCCTCCCTTTCTCCACCCTCCTCCCAAAAAAAAAAAAATCCGAAGAGAGGGGATGGCGAGAGAAAAAAAGTGGGCAGGAAGCACTTGCAACACAACGCAAGAAAACTTTTCTTATACAAAATTATGGAAAACTTTTATTTCCATGCATAACACACATACGCCTCGTTCGCCCCGTGTGTGTACAAGTGTGTGTGTGTGTGTGCGCGTGTTTATTGCTTTACTTTTTTTGCACTCTTAAATAAAACTTGCATGCATGAGTGTGCGTGGGTGTCTGCGCACATTTATTTATTTAGTTTCGCTGCCGCTCGGCACAAGTTTTTTACACACACATTCGTATTTTTCTTTCCCCTTTTTTTTTTGTTTTTTGTTTTTTGTTTTGGGCGTGAAATTGGCACATCAAAAAGTGGAAAATTTAAGTTGCAACAAACGGGAAGTGTAAACAGCTGAGCGAAAAAAAAAGCGGTAAAGCCGTGGAAAGTGTCATATCAGCAATCGCCCATGGGCTCCAAGCTCCCGAAGAAATCGCCCCAGTGATTTATAAATTTTTAACTTTCGTTCTGCGGTCATAAGCCCAACCGAGTTGGCTTTATGGCCAAATTGGCACAATAAAAGTTCGGCTGTGCTGGAATTATGGGTGACGACCAAGATGGCCCTGTGATCATCATCATCTTCAGCTGCCAGCTTTTTGGAACGTGCCAATGAGCTGTTCGGCCCATTTGGCTTTTTATGCCACTGCTAATGACACAATTTGGTGGCGCAACGAGGGCTGCTCGCTAGAAGGGACATGTGACACGCACGCAAAACAATTAACCGTTAACACTCACTCGCAAAAGCACACACACACACCTCATACACCCACACACACACACATACGGCCAACGAACTTTTTACGTTTGCGCTAATCCGCGTTGACCGTTTCACTTCACTTCATTTCGCTTGTTGCGTTTTTATTGTGTTGTCTTACACAGCGCAAAAAAAATGGTTAAAACTTAACGCCAAAAAAAAGTATTAATATTTGCTTAGTTCTCACTTTTCCTAAATACATAAATAAAATGCTTTAATGAGAAAAAACTATATACAATATGGAATAATTTATTTTATAATGAAAGTTTATCCCACCCAAGTATGCATTTTTAATCAGTAATAAATCGATATGTATTTTTTTAGCTAAAAATAGCAGTAAATCACAAATTAAAATTCATAGTTTTTAAAGTTATTAAAAAATACATACTGAGATAATGTATTTTTTAATACTTCCAATGAAGTTCTTAGTGGATCAATTTGCAATTACGCTGTCGCTGCAGTTGGACTTTCCGAATTGCCCCCGCTAACCGATGACCCTTTCCCTCTCACTCGCACACTCGCACACTCGCACACCCGCACTACCCTTCTCTGTCGCTCGCTCGCTTTGTTCAGTGAGCGTCTAAGTATGTTGCTTCCGTTTCCGTCGCCGTTGCCATTATTTGAAGGAGTGTGGGTGTGTGCAGCAAGGACTTTCGGGGGGTGGTGGGTTCGGTGGGTAAGGCATTGTTGTCGCAAAGTGCTGACACACACACAGAAGCCCACACAGACACACTGATACACAGATACAGGCACAATCATCGCCATACCACTACCAGCACACATGCATCATTGGCCATTATCGCGTGCGCCTTAAAAGCACAAAAACGGCAATGGCAAAGAAAGTTGTCTAAAAGCCAAGCCACCAGCGACAAGGACAATGAAATGCCACTGCCAATAAATAGTGAAAAACAACAACAACAATAACAACAACAATAACAACAACAATAACAACAAGAAGCAACAACAACAGCAACAAACATCGAAGGGAAAAAGGAGCATCGACATTTCCTTTGAGTTCGCTTTGGCTTGCTTTATCGCAACAATTGGCAATTGGATTTGCTTTTGTTTGGGCCACGGGGCGTATGCGTAATGTATTTTGTATCTCCTGCCGCAAACGCACACACACATACACACACACACTGGCACACACAGAGAGTCGCGACAATCGCAATTTAGTGAGGCTTTTATTGGCCGCTCCCTTAAACACCCTTAACACCAAACCTTAACCCCCCAATGGCCCAATGGCCCAATATCCCACTGGGCGACCATTTCGCTGGTCTGGTCTTCGTATGTCCTGTGCCCTGAGTCCTGTGTCCTGGCATAATGGAAATTACTTGATTATCGTTTACACGTCGCCAATCGCTCAGCGAATCTCCAATGAATGAGTGCGGCTAATAGACCGCTTCGCACACGCACACTCACACACACAGACGCAAACGAAGGACAATGGGAATGTCCAGAGCCAGGACATCCGTGAATCTTATTGAGGTGTTTGGAACAGGAAACAAATAAGTGGCTAGCATGTCAGCTTATCCAAAAAAAAGAAACCTTATAACATATATAAATACCTTAAATTGTTCTCCATTAATTTACATATCACATTTTTTTAGTAAGTAACATTAATTCAATGTTTCCAAGAAATAAAATATTTTTTTGTATATCGTTAAACCGCTTTTCCTGTTTTGGAAATATTTAATTTATTTTCTCTCCATTTCCAAATACCCATTCAGATTTTAGGGCATAACCACCAGCACATTCAATTCAGTATTTATGCGCCATTTACGGATTCCACTATTTCATTGATACTTTATTTTGGGAAGGCAGAAAAAAAATAGAGGAAACCCCCAACACGGATAGGGGGAAATCATTAACTACTCGCCCGTTAATTTCTTAAGCGATTTCGGGGCACTTTTTCAGGCTGTGTAATTAAATTTGTTGCTCGACCCAAAAACCGAGACCGAAACATTGGCGTTTTCCTCTTCGAAGGCGACTTGGCTGGCGGAGCGGTGTTTTTGGCCAGCTGATTTAGAAAATTCATGGAGGAAATTGGGGGAAATGGGTAAACGAGGCAACTGGGACTTGGTCAAGCTGCCACAGTGCATTCGGCCCGCTATTCAGCCAAAGGGAAAGCGACAGGTCGAAAGTAGGTGAAAATGTCAATGGGAGCCAGTCGGTTCGTTGGTTTGTTGGTTCGTTGGCTCGTTGGCTCACTGGGCTCGGATCGGTGCCTTATTATGGTAGAGTTTGCCTTTTCTTTTCGGCCCTGTGGTGAGTTTGCGCAGCACCCCCTCCGTGGTGAGTTTTTCCGGGGCGGAATTTAAGAGAAAAGCGTAAGAGAGAGCGTAAGGAGGAAAATCGCTGAACTGCTTTCACTGCGCTTGCAAGGGAAAATTGGGAAGAGCCCTTTTGTTTGGATTCATGTAATCCATCCACATATTTAATTCTGATTCGGCTCATTAACTTTTGTTTTTGTTTCAAACATTAAATATATTAAATTTGTATTAGAATGCAAAATCAGGTAACTTTCTAATATATCTGCTCTTTCTTGTTGATTAATATATTGTAAAATAAAATCATTTATGTAGATACTAGATAACATTTAACATTTGCCTTGGAATTGCAACGAGAAAATCTTCTTTTTCACAGACTTTTGGCTGAGACTCGTTAGTCCGGCAGCCGAATGAGTGAAACACACGGGAGGGGGAGGGGGCTTTTTAGGTTGGTCTGAAAGGGGCGTGGTCGAGAGGGTGGTGGCGGTGGCGGGGGCGGGGGTGACACACACGCACTTGGGCGCGCCTAGAAGTATGCTCTGACAAGTTTGAAGTGCTCTTGCTCTTGCGGCCGTCGTCGCAATAGTCGCGATGTCTCGTCGCTTTGACTTGTCAAACAAAAATAATGCCATTTGCCAGTTGCAAGAGTACTCAGCCGCTGAGTCCCGCACCTCCTGCCTCCTGCAGCAACAGCTGCTGCCCCATGCAACAGCAACAGCAACAGCAACAGAAGCAGCAGCAACATCTACATCTGCAACAGCAGCAACACGAATCCGTTTTAATGAAGACCCAGGCCTCCATCATCATCCGCTGGCGAAAGTTGGCAAAGTTGGCAGACAGTTTAAGTGGAAGGCCAACACTTAATATCGGTTAAAGCTAAATTACTGCCTTAATTGCAAATCAAATTTGAAAAGGACATCGAGCGAAAGTGCTAACCGACGGCAGGAGTCTAAAATCCACGAAGAAACCTCTGGCTTCTACTTCAAATAAATGAGCTCTGTCCTTGGCATAAAATACATATATTTGGCCTAAAAAAAACACGGCATATATACATTTAAGATAATTCCAACTATTTGAAAGGCTAAGAAGTGAAGTAAAGAAGTAAGAGGTGTCTTGGAGAATACACACGATTCGCTGAATATATAATTCAATCCCTTTCCGTCTTCCTTTCTGAAGCTCAACCATAATTTAGCAGAAAAAATGCTCATCTTAATGATGCTCAATTTTAATCCACTGGCTTCTGGCTTCTGGCTGCTGTCGCCCCGCAAAAAAACTCTTTAATGTAATTGAAATGTCATGAATGAAATGACAAGAACACCGACAGCCGGGAAGTTGCTGCTGTACGGTTCGTATTGCTGTTGTACATGTTGCATGTTGCCGGTGGCACGCGGCAAGCTGAAAAGGCGTCGGTGTTTTCTACGTGCGAGAAAACTGGAAAAACTATACACGTCGGCGCTAAGTAGCCCCGCCCCCATTTTCCTGGCCAAAAAAAAAAAAAAAGAAAAAATGTGTCCTGTCAATGGCAACCGCA